TCGGCGAGGTCTGGTTGCCACTCGGGATCTCCGCGACAGACCTCTCAACAGCCGGGGTAGTCACCTCCTCGTCCCCGCCCTCGCCCCCCGCCGAGTCGCCGTCGAACGGCGGGCGGGAGGGGGCCCCATACCAGGGGCCTGGAAAAGAAAACCTTGGTAGACGAGGGAGGATGGACAAAGCGAGGCCCGCAGTGGTGGGGGAGGGGCGCGTGGAGGGAGGGGAGGGGCAAGAGGAGCCAGGGGGGGGGGGGGGGGGCGGAAAGAGGGGGGGGAGGGGGAAGGGCAGGAGCGAGGAGCCAGGGGGGGAGGGGCGGAAAAAAAGGGGGCAGGGGAGGGGCAGGAGGGCGGAGCGGGGGGGGGCGGACGAAGGGGGAGCCGAAGGGGCGAGTGCGCCCGCGAACTCCGGCACCCGCAAGGGCCAGACACCCACGAGCGTCTTCGCTGCCACAGCAACCTCGAACGCCCGCCGAGGGGAGGAGCAGGGAGGGCCCAGAGGGGAAGGACGGGCGAAGGAGGAACTGAAGGGGCGAAAGCACCCGCGAGCCCACGCACCCACCAGGGCCCGACACCCGCGAGCGTCTTCGTCGCCACGGCAACCTCGAACGCCCGCCGGGGGCAGGGGCCGCGAGGGGAGCGGAGGGAAGGGGGCAAGCGAAAAAGGAAGGGAGGGGGGGGGGGGGGGGGGGCGAACTAAGCATCAGCCTGTATAACCAATCCCACCACGTTCCGCCGCGGCGCCGCCGGGCGCGGGGGGCCCCCATCACAATGCGACGCCGGTGGGGTGGGCGCTCAGGCCGCCACCGCCCCCGCCCCGCCCCCGCCCCCGAGGGGGGGGGGTCGGCGCTGCCGGCGGCCGCTGGGGCGGCCTTGGCGTGGACCGCGGCCACCGCGTCAGCAGCGGCTTTGGCCCGCGCCACTGCGGTCGGGGCTGCCGCCGGCGCTGGGGCCACAGAGGACGCCGGGGCGCTGGCGGCGGGCTCGGCCGCGGGCGCGGCGGGCGCTTTGCCCTGGGCCTTGCCCTTACCCTTCCCCTTGGCACCCTTCTTTCCTTTGCCCTTGCCGCCGTTTTTGCCGCCGCGCCCCTTGCTGCTCTTCCCGCCCCTGCCCTTGGGGCCGCCACCGCTAGCCTCCTGGCGCGCGCGCTTGCGCTCCCGCTCCTCCGACGTCGCCTAGGCCCGCTGCCGTGCGAAGCGGCCCGTCCAAAAAGGATAGCGCCGCCTGCACCGACAGGGGCTCCTTGCCGAACCGGAGGGTCAACCGAAAGGCGCCCTCGACTCGGCCCCCGCCGCCGGCCGCGTTCCTCGACTGGTCGAAGACGTGCGCCAGCACGTCCGCGCCGGCCAGGCCGCTGACTATCTGGGAGATAGCCCGCCCCGCGTCGCCCAGCGCCTGGAACTCCTGGGAGTCTTCCCGCGGCAGCGGCCACGGCACCTGGAGGGCCTCGCAGAGGTCCTCGCCCACCGCCTTCGGCACTGCCAGGCGGAGCTCCCTCCACAACTGGCTCGGCGCGCGTTCTGCCCGCGCGCTTTCCACCTTGTCGAACCCCTCGAGGACGACGCGGCAGCTCTTGCGCACCTCGCCCAGGTCCCTCTTTACGCGTTGCAGCCCACCCTCCACCGACGTGACTCTCGCCTCGAGCGCCGCGAACCTCTCGTCCACCGCGGCCCTGCGTGCCGCCATTGCTCCCGGGCAGCGGGAACGGACGCGGACCGACACAAGAGCCTTCCTGACGGGCTCGCGGCGGGCGAATGCGACGAGAAGAGGAGAGCGCCGTGATCCCTGCGTACATACACAACAACGTGCAATGGATGCGTGGCGGGATACTCACGTTGACAGAGACAGAAGGGGGTGGGAGATGGTAGCAATGATCCAACCCCCAACGACGACAGGACGAAAAAAGGGGAGGCAGAAAAAGAGGCAAGACACGCAAAAAAAAAAAAAAAAAAAAAAAAAAATGAAAAAGCAGGCGGAGGAGGGGGAGGGAGGGAGGGAGGGAGGGAGGGAAGAAGAAAACAACGCCGAACGAGAAAAAAGATTGGGCACGGCTTCGCATTGAAAACAAAAAGAAACAACACGGAGCCCCTCACGGGGGCGGCCCCCCTGCCGCCGAGGACCTGGGGGAGGGCGGCGTCGAAGGCCAGGGGGCCGACGACGGCGCAACGTGGAACCCGAAAGAACCTGCGCCCTCCCCCCGCGCAGGGTAAACCTACACCGGCACGAGGGGCAGCGCGAAAAATGGCCCCCGGGCTGCAGCAGACGCGAAGAGAAACGCCACGAGCCCCGCCCGACAAGAGAAACAACTAACAAACGGACGCAACAGCACAACGAGCAAACCCGAAGAACAACGACGGACAGACAATTACTGCCAACGGAAGGAACAGGGGGCGGGGGCGGAGAGCGAATGGGGGGGGGAAGGGCGAAAACCCAACGAGAATCAATGCAACTACGCTCCTGCTTTCGTCAGTCCCCCTACCCGTGCCCCCGCTTCGGGGCAGCTGCCTTCCCGGACTTCGCTTTGGCCCCTCTGCTCGGCCCCGAGCTCTCCGCCCGCCCCCCTGCGCCTAGTTCGGCG